CACGCACAAACGCAAATCCCTCAGCAGCAGCCGTTGCAGCAGCGGCACCCGCTGCAGCAGCAGCAGCTGCGCAACCAGCAGCAGCTGATGCACAAGCAGCAGCAGCAGCAGCAGCAGCAGCTGCACCAACAGCAGCAGCAGCACCAGCAGCCGCTGCAGTGGCAGCAGCTGCACCAACAGCAGCAGCACCCGCCGCACCAGCAGCAGCAGCAGCAGCCGCTGCACCAACATCAGCTGCCGCTGCAACTGCAGTCGCTGCAGCTGCAGCAGCCGCTCCACAAGCAAGAGCCGCAGCAGCAGCAGTCGCTACAGCAGCAGTCACTGCAGCAGCAGCCGCTGCGGCAGCTGTCGCTACAGCAGCCGCAGCAGCAGCAATCGCTACTGCAGCAGTCACTGCAGCAGCAGCCGCTGCGGCAGCTGTCGCTACAGCAGCAGCAGCAGCAGTCACTGCAGCAGCAGCCGCTGCAGCAGCTGTCGCTACAGCAGCAGCAGCAGCAGAAGTCACTACAGCAGCAGCCGCTGCGGCAGCTGTCGCTACAGCAGCAGCAGCAGTCACTGCAGCAGCAGCCGCTGCAGCAGCTGTCGCTACAGCAGCAGCAGCAGCAGCAGTCGCTACAGCAGCAGCCGCTGCAGCAGCTGTCGCTACAGCAGCAGCAGCAACAGTCGCTGCAGCAGCAGCCGCTGCAGCAGCCGTCGCTACAGCAGCAGCAGCAGCAGCAGTCACTGCAGCAGCAGCCGCCGCGGCAGCTGTCGCTACAGCAGCAGCAGCAGCAGTCACTACAGCAGCAGCCGCTGCGGCAGCTGTCGCTACAGCAGCAGCAGCAGCAGTCGCTACACCAGCAGCCGCTGCAGCAGCTGTCGCTACAGCAGCAGCAGCAGCAGCAGTCACTACAGCAGCAGCCGCTGCGGCAGCTGTCGCTACAGCAGCAGCAGCAGCAGCAGCAGTCGCTACAGCAGCAGCCGCTGCGGCAGCTGTCGCTACAGCAGCAGCAACAGCAGTCGCTGCAGCAGCAGCAGCAGCCGCTGCAGTGGCAGCCGCTGCACAAGCAGCAGCAGCAGGAGCCGCTGCAGCAGCAGCCGCTGCACAAGCAGCAGCAGCAGCAGCCGCTGCAGCAAGAGCCGCTGCAGCAGCAACCGCTGCACAAGCAGCAGAAGCAGCAGATGCTGCAGCAGCAGCCGCTGCAGCAGCAGTCGCTGCAGCAGCAGCAGAAACCGCTGCAGCAGCAGCAGCAGCAGTCGCTACAGCAGCAACCGATGCAGCGGCAGTTGCTGCAGCAGCAACCGCTGCAGCAGCAATCGCTGCAGCAGCAGACGCTGCAGCAGCAGTCGTTGCAGCAGCAGCCTCTGTACCAGCAGCAGCAACAGCAGCAGCAGATGCTGCAGCAGCAGCCGCTGCAGCACCAGTCATTGCAGCTGCAGCCGCTGCACAAGCAGCAGCAGCAACAGTCGCTGCATAAGCAGCAGCAGCAGCAGCTGCCGCCGCTGCAGCAGCAGCAGCAGCCACCGCCGCTGCAGCAGCAGCAGCAGCTGTTCAGCGAGACTGGCCCTTCCCCCAGCGCATTTGTGGGGCCCCTTAGGCCTATCGAAAGGTCTCCGCCTGACAGAGCAGCAGCGTGAGCCGACTAGCTGAACTAGTGCAGCACTAATAAGTAATAAATAAAAAATAAATAACTAATTAAAATAAAAAGTAATAAATAAGTTAAATACTTTTTATTTTGCTGCTCTTCACTTGTTCATTTGCGCGACTGCTGCATGCATTTAGGGTGTACAGGGAGTTCTGCAGCATCCGCAGGGCTCAAGCTGCAAAACGAGGCTCAGCAGCAGCAGCAGCAGCAGCAGCAGCAGCAGCAGCAGCAGCAGCAGCAGCAGCGCTGCCAGCCACTGCAACAGCAGCAGGCAGCAGGGGCAGCGAGGCCGAGGCAGCAGCAGGAATAAGGAAGCTGGAAAGGAAACACCAAGGAGAAAAGTTGTTGAATAAAGAAAAAGAAATAAAAAGTGCCACTCAAAGAAAACCCCAAGAGGGGCCCCCCACAAAACCGGGGGGCCCCTCACGCCGCTCTGCTGCTGCTTCGGGCGCAGCAGCCCCTGATCTCTTCGCCTGCCTGCGGGCTTCCTCTATAGCATGCAGCAGCAGCAGCAGCAGCAGCAGCAGCAGCAGCAGCAGCAGATGCAGCAGCAGATGCAGCAGCGGAGTCCCCTTGGGTCTCCTTGCTGCCAATCGCGTCCACCTCACGCCGATGCATCAGAGAGACAGCAGGAGGGCCCCCCGAGGCTACGGCGTCTCCCCAGTGGCCCCCCCGCAGCAGCAGCAACAGCAGCAGCAACAGCAGCAGCAGCAGCAGCAGCGGCAGAACTCTGTGCCGGAGCTCCCGGCTGCCTTCATTGAGGCCTTTGGGCTCCAGAACGCTTCGGCGCTCCTGTGGGGCAGCGCAGCTACGGGGCCACAGCAGCAGCAGCAGCGCAAACAGCAGCAGCAGCAGCAGCAGCAGCAGCAGTCGCTGCTGCAGCGGCCGCGTCGGGGCTCAGTGAGGCCGCAGCAACTGAACAACTCCTCTGGCCGCCGCCAAAGCTATATGAAGCCGCGGTAGCTGCTGCTGCAGCAGCCCAGAACCTCTAGCTTTGTCTGCTGCTATCCCTGTGTCTGCGCGCGTCATCTGCTGCTGCTGCTGCTGCTGCTGCTGCTGCCGTTGTTCTTGTGGCGGCTCCTGCCTCTGCATGCGGGTCTTTTTGTCTCCTTGAAGTATTTCTTTTAATTTTTGGCTTTGTAGAAGCCCCGAAGCCCGTATGTCTCTTCTGCTGCAGCAGCTTCAGCTGCAACTGCCCAGCCCCTCGTTGCCGTTGTTGCTGCTGTTGCTCATTCTGCTGTTGCTGCCGCTGCAGCTGCTGTTGTTGCTGCTGTTGCTGCTGCAGCTGTTGTTGTTGCTGTTGCTGCCTGGTCATCTCGGAAGCACTTTAGCTCACCGCAGCAGCAGCAGCAGCAGCAGCAGGAGCAGCAGCAGCAGCTGCTGCTGCTGCTGCCTAGTCGTCTAGGAAGCACTTCATGGTGCGCAGGTCGTGGGGGACCAGCAGCAGCGGCGTGGCGAGGGCTTCTGCAGTCCCTGCAGGGACGCGCAGGTGCAGCACTGTCTCTTCCCCCTCTGCCTGCAGCAGCAGCAGCAGCAGCAGCACAGCAGCAGCAGCAGCAGCAGCAGCTGCAGGCACTTGGCTTCGCGTGCACGAAGAGGCACGAGTCTCTATACCCACTCGCCTGCATGAGGGGCCTCCGGAGTTTATGATGCGCGTGTGGATTGGGGTTTAGGGCTTGAGTTAGGGTTTAGGGTTTAGACGAGGGTTTAAGCTTCAGACAAGGGTTTAGCAGGCGTAGCGCCAGGGTTTAGGGTTTGAGCTACGGCTGCAGCATAGAACCCAGCGCTTCCTACAGGGATAGCGCTGGCGAGGGTTTAGGGTTTAGGGTTTAGGGTTTGCGCGCTGCACAGGAAAATGCCCGACGCCTGCTAGAGCTCGAAATTAGGGTTTGTTTACCAGCGGCTTGAGCCCATTGCGGGAGCCTAGGGTCTGGGCAAGTGTTTAGACTGTGCCGCTTAGGGTTTAGGGTTTAGGGTTTAGGGTTTAGGGTTTAAAACTGACTTCGACGCTGCAGACGTGAACCAAAAAGGCAACACTGGCCCACGGCAGCGCCTGAGGGTCTGTGGTGGCCGGCGCAGCCAAAAGGGCATTTAAAAGGGCACTGGGGGGCCCCCTGTAGGGGCCCCACATCACCCGCGAGGACTCTGCTGCTGTTGCACCTGCAGCAGCAGCAGCAGCAGCAGCAGCAAACCCCGCCTCTGCTGCTTCCGCTGCTGCTGCTCGTGCAGCTGCTCCTCATGCTGCTGCTGCTGCTTCGTGCGCAGCGAGGGCTCCTGCCCGGGAGCAGCTGTGTAGAGTCCCAGCTAGCTGTGGCTCGCAGTGTGCAGCTAGCTGCGTCGCTAGCTGCAGCAGCAGTGTGTGGCTAGCTGTGAGCGCCGCTGTAGAGCTAGCTAAAGGGCCAGTTGAGTAATAAGCAGCGTGGCTGCGTGGGTGGCTAGCTGTGGCTAGCTGCAGCTAGCCATGGCTAGCCGTGGCAGGCTGCAGCTAGCTGTGGCTACCTAGTGCTACAAGTGGCTCGCCGTCGCTAACTACGGGTAAGTGCGGCCACCTAGAGCTACGCCTGGCTAGCTGTGGCTAGCCAGGGGCAGCTGTGGCTAGCTTTGGCTAGCTGCGGCTAGCTGCGGCTAGCTGTGGCTAACTGGTCTAGCTGGTTACCTGCTGGCAGCGCCGAGAGGGGCACTGCAGCCTTTTGCTTCAGCTGCAGCAAAGTGCAGCGAGAGAAAGGAAGCCGAACTGTCTGGGGAGCAGCAGAAGGCCCAAAGAAGTAGCGGCGCAGCCACAGCCGCCGCAGCAACCGCAGCCGAGCTGCGTCGGGCTGCAGCAGCAGCAGCAGCAGCAGCAGCAGCAAGAAGCTAGAGGCGTGAGTACGAAAGGCTCAGCGGCGTGAGTAGGCGAAGCAGCAGCAGCAAGACCCGCAGCAGGCACAGGAACAGCAGCAGAAAAAACAGCAGCAGCAGCAGCAGAAACGATTGTAGAAGCAAGAACAGCAGCGGTGACAAGGGTAGCAGCAGCAGCAAAAGTAGCAGCAGCAGCAGAAGCAGCAGCAGCTCGGGCTTACTGCGACGGTGCCCTCTAGCTTGGGCAGCGGCACGACTTCGACTCTGTGGATTCTGGGCGCTGCCGCTGCCCCCGCGCAGTGCTGCTGCTGCTGCTGCAGTTGCTGCTGCAGCTGCTGCTGCAGCTGCTGCTGCGCTGCTGCTTCCTCCGCCGTGTCCGGCAGCACGTGTCCGTACACCCCAGCCAAGTCGTGAGACAGCGAGGGATTGTCCAGAACAATTATAATGTCGAAGCCGAAGACGTCCACCAGCTGCTGCAGCTGCTGCAGCGAAACCTGGTGCGGCGCGTTCGCTATCAGGCCTGCAGCAGCAGCAGCAGCAGCAGCAGCAGCAGAAGCCGTGTAGGCAGGGAGTGACTTTCGCAGCGGCAGCAGCAGCAGCAGCAGCAGCGATGAGTGGGTATACGCGAGGCAGCCAGCTGTAGCTGCGGAAAGCTAGCCACACGCATGGACAGTTAGCTGTGGCTAGCCACGGCTAGCCACAGCTAGCCACAGCTAGCCACAGCTAGCCACAGCTAGCCACAGCTAGCTGCAGCTAGCTGCAGCTAGCTGCAGCTAGCCGCAGCTAGCCGCAGGTAGCCACAGCTACCCGCCACTAGCCACAGCTAGGCACAGCTAGCCGCGGCTAGCCACAGGTAGTGACAGCTAGCCACGGCTAGCCACGACCAGCCACAGCTAGCCACAGCTAGCCACAACTAGCCACAGCTAGCAGAGCAGCTCACCTGAAGCTGCCAGCGAAGGCGCCTGGGTCTCGTTGCAGTGGCTGCTGTCTTCCGCTTCTGCTGCAGCTGAGTGCTGCAGCAGCGAACGGGCAAAGGCTGCATGCAGCGCAGTGCTGAGGCAGCAGCAAGCCCAAGTGAAGAGCTCCGCAGAAGCCTCTGCGGGCCCTGTGGCTGTCTCTGTGGAGGCTTCTGCTGCTGCTGCTGCTGCTGCTGCTGCTGCGTCCTGCTCGTCTGCTGCTGCGCCGGGCTCCGGCATCTCGACTTCCGGCGGCGCCGGCGGACACCTGCCGGCGCCGCTGCTGCTGCTGCTGCTGCTGCTGCTGCTGTCAGCAGCAGGCCTGTGGCTGCTGCTGCTGCCCAAAAAATATACAAGAGGCTCCTGCGGCTCCTCCGCATCCAGCGAGCGACAGACGCAGCAGCCGATGCAGCCGGGGGGCATCTGCAGCGGCGCTTTGTCGCAGCTGCCCCTGAGCCACGCCCACCAAACCCTAAACCCTAAACCCTAAACAACAAACCCTAAACCCCCTAAACCCTTAACAGCAAACCCTAAACCCTGAACAACTAGCCTCTGTGCACGTCTAGACAGCCATTCATGCAGCGCCATTGGGGGCCTCTGGGCATGTGCCCTCTGGGGGCCCCCTGGGGCCCCCCACGGACCCTGTAAAACCCCCAATAGTCTTTGGAGGTCCTTTAGTGGCATTTTAGGGGCCCCTCGAGGCCTGTGGGGGCCCCTTGGGGCACTGGTAGCCCCTTCAAGATTTGTGGGGGCCCCTAAAGCGCAGAGGTGGCCCATCCGTGGCCTCGGGGGGCCCTTTGGGGGCCCCTTAAGACGTCTGGGGGCCCCCGGAGAGCCCCCAGAGGCCTTGAAAGCCCTTCAAAGAACACTTAACCTCAGTCGCTTAGGCGAGCCCCTTCAGGGGCCCTCTAAACGGCTGAGGGGGCCCCCCGAAGGAGCCCCAGGGGGCCCTTTGAGGGCCCCTGAAGGCCCCGGGGGCCCTCAAAAGCCCTTAAGAACTTGGGGACTTCTTACCTGACATCAAGCTCCAGAAATGCTGGAGTCCAGCCGGCCCTCAGGGCATAATTGCAGAGAATTTGGCAGACGCTGCTCTTCCCGCTGCCGCTGCTTCCAGTCACCAGCACCTGCACAGCAGCAGCAGCAGCAGCAGCAGCAGCAGCGGCAGCAGCAGAGCGAGAACAGAGCCGTGGAAAGAGAGAAGGCACTGGCTGCTTTGCTACGCAGCCGGCGGCGTCTCTGCAGCTAGTCAGCTGCCTGGAAGCTACTCAGCTAGCTGGCAGCCAGCCAGCTAGCTGGCAGCTACCTGCAGCTAGCTGGCAGCTAGCCAGCTAGCTACCCTCATGTGTTTGTGAGACCCAGCAGCGCCGTCGCTAGCTGCCTGGCCGCAGCTGCCTGCAGCTAGTTGTATGACTAGTTGTGCGGCTAGCTGCGCGGCTAGCTGTGTAGCTAGCTGTGTGGCTAGCTGTGTGGCTAGCTGTGTGGCCAGCTGTTTTGCTAGCTACGTGGCTAGCTGCGTGGCTAGCTCTCTGGCTAGCTGTGCAGCTATATGCGTGGCTAGCTGTGCAACTAGCTGCGCGGCTAGCTGCGTTGCTAGCTGTGCAGCTAGCTACGTGGCTAGCTGCGTGGCTAGCTGCGTGGCTAGCTGCGCAGCTAGCTACGCGGCTAGCTACGTGGCTAGCTGCGGGACCCTCACCCTGGGCCCTAGGGTTTGTGCTGCTGCTGCTGCTTGGCGCCTCGCATGCAGCGCGGACTCCAAGTTGAAAATGTAAGACATGGGGCGGTCCGAAGCCTCGTACTCCTGAAGGCAGCAAACCCTAAACCCTAAACCCTAAACCCTAAACCCTAAACCCTAAACCCTAAACCCTCAACGTTAAACCCTAAGGGCCAGGAGCGTCATTTCGAAGGTAAGTCAAGCCAATAGAAACACAAAGAGGCAAACAGACACAATGAGACGCTGCGGGGCCCTTTGCTGCTGCTGGTGCGCCCGGCCCTACAAAGTCCAGACAACAAGCTGCTGCTGCTGCTGCTGCTGCTGCTGCTGCCGTTACTGTTGCTGCTGCTTCTTTTGGTGTTGTGCTACATTCAATTCCAGAAGCAGCAACAGCAGCAGCAACAGCATCAGAAGTACGCCGCTGCCACCATCCCCGCCGCCAGCAGCAGCGCCCGCAGCAACAGTACCAACAGCAGCAGCAGCAGCAGCAGCAAAAGCCCGCCAACTTCGCCGTCCGCACCGTGAGACACAGCAACAGCAGCAGCAGCAGCAGCAGCAGCAGCAGCAGCAGCAGCTCACTTGGTGCACAGGCCCTCGGACTTGGAGTGTACATCCACCCCAGGTGAAGATGGCCAGCCGAGCAGCAGGAGGAAGAGTCACTTCTATATCTGGCAGCAGTTCGAGTCCGAATATTTCTGCAGTTCCTGCTGCTGCTGCTGCTGCTGCTGCACTTGTTGCTGCTCCCGCTGCTCCTGCTGCTGGTCCTGCTGCAGAAGCCGCGCCGCCCCCTGCTGCTGCTGCTGCTCCGCTACCCACGCGAAGCCCGCGGGCCCCAGGCCGTTCCGAAGGCCCAGGCCCCAGCAGCTGCAGCAGCAGCAAGCACAGCAGCAGCAGCAGCAGCAGAATGCAGCAGCAGCAGCGTGTGTTGCACAGAGCACCGCAGCAGCAGAATGCGGCAGCAGCAGCATCTGTTGCAAGGAGCGCCGCAGCAGCGGAACGCAGCAGCAGCTTCTGCAGCAGCAGTACAAGCAGCAGTTGCTGCTGCCACAGCTGCAGCAGCAGCCGAACGCAGCAGCAGCAGCAAGTGCAGCCGCAGAGGGCGGCAGCAGCAGCAAACGCAGCAAGAGCTGCAGCAGCAGCTGCTGCAGACAAGCGTGCGTCAAGCCAGAACTCACCTTGACAGCAACAACTTGTGTCTCATCTGCTGCTGCTGCTGCTGCTGCTGCTGCTGCCTCTTGGGCCTCTTGAGTGTCCAGCAGCAGCACCCGCAGCTCTCTCATTGGCTTCAAATTTATAATCCGCACAGCGCGGCGGCTGCTGGGGTTTTCAACCAGCCCAGGGGCCCCCAGGGAAGCCCCGAGGGGGGCCCCGAGGGGGGCCCCTAGGGGGGCCCCCAATGGGGCCCCTAGGGGGGCCCCCAGGGGGGCCCCCACGGTAGCCCCCATAGATGACGCCATTGAGGCCCCCAGAGTAGAACCCATGGAGGGCCCCAAGGGGGCCCCCAAAGGGGCCCCCATGGGGGCCCCTGAAGCTGCAGTTGGGGCCGAGGCCGAAGTCGGCGGCAGCCACATGTAGGAGGCCTCTCCCGAATAAGAGGCTCGGGGGTGGGGCCCTGCTGCTGCTGCTGCTGCTGTTTGCCAGCGCTGCTGCTGCTGCATCGTTGCTGCTGTGGGGGCCCCAGAAACTCAGAGATAAGCCTGGGGGGCCCCAGCGCTCCCCGTGGCTTGTTCAGGTGTACGCGCACCTCGGCAGAGGCCCCTGGGGGCCCCCAAAGGCCCTTGGGCCCTCTCAGGCGTTCCTTTTCGGAGTTTTTAATCAAATAAACAATCAAAAATACATGTTTGATGCTTTTGGGAGTTTAAATGCTGGAGTTTCAGACTGTCCGAGCCCTGCAAGTCGTCTGTAGGCGCCTGGGAGATGCAGCGGGAGGCACCCCAGGGAAATCTTATCTTACAAACATTATGTTTCGTTTTCTAATTATTCGTGAAGACAAAAAAATCGGTTTTCAGCACAGGGAGCCTCATAAAGAAGGCGAAGCGGCTTGGGGCCCCCAGGCAGTGTTGGGGGGCCCCTGGGGGTACCAGAGGCCCCTTGGGGCCCAAGGGGGCCCCTCGGGGCCCTTGGGACTGCTGTAAGTAGCCTGGCTTGCAATTTTATGGCTAAGGAGATAAGCCATTTGATTTATTTTTTAAGTTTTAATTCAATTAACTGAAAATAAAGAATATGAGCTGCCTAGGGGGCCCCCTGGGGCCGACTAATTGGGGGCCCCCAGGGCCGGAGGCCCCCAAAGCCGTGGGGGCCCTAACTAGGGCCGATACATGGGGGCCCCTAAGAGGGTCTTGTGCAACTAGCTGCTGCAGTTGCTGCTGTGAGGGCTGGCTGGCCTGTGGAGGACTTTGTCTGTGTGCAAATGCAGAGATATAAACTTAACATCATTATTAAACATAAATTATTTGATTTTCTACTCAAATGTTATATATTAAGTGCAGTGAGTGGCCTGCTTGAGAGCCTTTATGCACAAATAAAGGACTCAGCTTTATTTTCGAAAAAGACAACACCATATAGGCCATCAGCCCCTTGCATGCACAAATTCACTTGCATGCGCATGCGCCTTCCGGTGCATGCATGCATGCATGCATGCACACTTCAATAATGTGGAAATTCTCTAGATTTTCCCTAAGAAGAATCACTCTTAGGACTACTTATATACTCAGCTAGCCACGAAATAAACTGCCAGCCAAAGGGGCCCCTGGGAAACCTAGGAGGCCCTAGGGGCCCTATAATGGCCATAGGGGCCCTACAATAGCCCTAGGGGCCCTACAATAGCACTAGGGGCCCTAGAGCCCCAAAGGAGGCCCCTAAGGGGGCCCCTGAGGCTGTGGGGGCCCCACAAGGCGTCTCTTTGGGGGGCCTCAACCACTAAGGTGCTTTAGGGGTCTCTTTGTATATAAGATGCATGCGCAGTTTCTGCTGCAGCAGCAGCAACAAAAGCAAATGCTTCTTTGCTCGGCAGCTGGGCCTTGCTGCGGCCCTCGGTGCGTCTCTAGGTCAAAGTGCCATTGCAGCGCTTTGGGTGTACGTACACCCCAAACTGCTGCTGCAGCCCTTGCTGCTGCTGCTGCTGCTGCTGCTTGCCACAGGAGCTGTAGCAAACGAAATGCCCAGCTAGCCTGAGCTAAACAGCTATTTGGGAGCTCCAGCAAGTGCTGCTGCTGCAGCAGTTTCCTGCTTCTGCTGCGGCTCCAGCGAGGCCTGCAGCCACGCAGGCGCCTCTCCCGCCGCTGCTGCTGCAGCTGCAGCTGCTGCTGCTGCTGCTGCTGCTGCTGCTCAGTTATAGACCATGTATTTGGCAGTGGCGCTGAAGCGTTTGTAGCTTTTAATGACTCTGTTAATCGCCTCAATAAAGTCCTTCTCAGAGATGCTCTGAAGCAAACAGCCGGCCAACCAAAGACACGCCATGGCTAGCTAGGCAGCAGCAAATGCAGCAGCAGCAAATAGTGCAGCAGCAAGTAGAGCACAGTCAAGAGAGCATCACCAAATTCAGCAACACTGAAGAGAGGAACAACAGACAGAGCAGAAGCAAATAGAGGAGCAGCAGATATTGCAGCAGCAAACAGAGCAGCAGCAAACAGAGCAGCAGCAAACAGAGCAGCGGCAAACGCAGCAGCAGTAAGTAGAGCAGCAGCAAATAGTGCTCCATCTGCAAAGACAAGCCAGCAATATCTGCGACTTTGCGCCCCAGCGAGGTGGCCGCCGTCTGCTGTGTCTAGCTGACTTTCTTGTTATGTAGCACGCAAGCTGGCTAGCTGTCTGGCTGGCTAGCCGGCTAGCAAGTTTGCAGTCTAGCTAGCTACCTAGTTGACTAGCTAGCTAGCTAGCTTGCTGGCGGACTAGCTGGCTCTCTAGCTGCTTATCTAGCTGGCAATGTAGCTGGCCCATGACTAGCTCTCTGACCAGCTAGCTAGGTAGCTGGCTGGTTAGCTAGCTGGGTGCCTTGCTGGCTAGCTACCCGGATAGTTATCTGGTCAGCTAGCTGGCTAGCCATCCGGCTAGCTATATGTCCAGCTAGCTGGCTAGCTAGCTGGCTAGCTGGCTGGCTAGCTAGCTGGCTAGCTGGCTGGCTAGCTGACCTTTTTCCTGGCGCGAATGGCAAGTATCCCCGCCTCTGTGCAGACGGAGCGCAAGTCCGCCCCCGTGCTGTTGGGACACAGCCGGGCGAGCAGCTCGTAGCGAATGTTGCTGTCGACGCTGAGGGTCTTCGCGTGGATCCGCAGGATGTGCGTGCGGCCCTGCAGCAGCAGCAGCAGCAGCAGCAGCAGCTGGGGCAGCGAGGCAGGCTACTTGGGCTGCAAAGTGCAGCCGCAGGGAGCGGGGGAGAACAAAGAGACTGTGGGAAGGAAACGTAGAAGAACCGGCATAGAGGAGGCATCACAAGAGAAAAGCAGCAGCAGCAGCAGCAGCGAGACAGCGCAACAGCAGCAGCAGCAGCACGCCAGTGCACCACTAGCAGCAAGATAACGCAGCAGCAGCGAGACAGAAACAGCAACAGCACCACCAGGTGAAACAGCGCCAACGGCAAAAGAGGACCAGCAATGAAAACAGCAGCAGCAGCAGCAAAAGCAGCAGCAGCAGCAGCAGCAGCAGCAGACCTCCAGGTCCGGGAGTCCGAATTCGATTTTTCTGTCAAGGCGGCCGGGTCTGAGCAGCGCGGGGTCTAAAGTGTCGGGGCGGTTTGTGGCCATTAGGACTTTAACGTTTCCGCGTGCTTCGAAGCCGTCCAGCTGGTTCACTATTTCTGCAAACAGCAGCAGCAGCAGCAGCAGCAGCAGCAGCAGCAACAGCAGCGGCAGGGGAGGGGTGAGCAGCCCGGCGCGGGGAGGCAGAATGGGAGGAGATGCCATGTGAAACGCAACAGCAGCAAAAAAGATATGAAATACACCGGCAGCAGCAAGACACGTAGTGCAGCAGCAGCGGCAAGGTCGAATGCAGCAGCAGCAGCAAAACAAACGCAATCCGCAAGCAGCAGGACGACGAGCTAACTCAGCCCATCGCCCAACTGCATCCATCAGGGAGACAAAAGGAATGAAAAAAGAGAAAAGAATAGCACAAGAAGATCCACCCTGCCCACAAAAAGGCCCAGGTAAGACCAGCAGCAGCAAAAGCAGCAGCAGCAGCAGCAGCACCTTCCCCCTACCCCCCGCCCATCAATGCAGCAGCAGCACTCCCCCCACCCCCACCGAAACCACCACCACCACCACCACCACAGCTGCAGCAGCACCACCACCACCACCACCAGCACCAGCAGCAACAGCAGCAGCAGCAGCAGCAGCAGCAGCAGCAGCAGCAGCGTTACCGAGCATGGTCCTCTGGACCTCGTGGTCTCCGTGTCCGCCGTCTCCCTCTGCGCCTCTGCTGCCGCCAATGGCGTCGATCTCGTCGATGAAGAGAATGCATGCGCGGCGGCTGCGGGCCATTTCAAACAACTCCCGCACCATCCGCGCGCCCTCCCCCACGTACCTAAGCAGCAGCAGCAGCAGCACAGCAGCAGCAGCAGCAGGTTCTCCAGCAGCAGCAGCAGCAGCAATAAGGACAGCAACAGCAGCAACAACAGCGCCCGCAGCAACAGCAACAACAACAGCAACGTCAGCACCAGCACCAACAACAGCAGCAACAACAGCAACAACACCAGCACCAACAACAGCAGCAACAGCACAACAACACCACCACCACCACCACCACCAGCACCACAGCAGCAGCACCACAGCAGCAGCACCACAGCAGCAGCAGCAGCAGCAGCAGCAGCAGCAGGAGGGTCCGGACTTTTGGACGAGTTCGGAGCCGATGACGCAGATGAAGCAGGCGTCAGTTCTGTTGGCCACTGCGCGGGCCGTGAGGGTTTTGCCCGTGCCCGGCGGCCCGTAAAGAAGAACTCCTTTGGGGGGATCGATCCCGAGCGAGAGGAGGCGCTCGGGATGCAAGAGAGGCAACTCGAGGACTTCCCGCAGCTGCTCGAGTTGTTCCTTCGCGCCCCCCACGTCCGAGTAGGTCACGTCCGGCTTCTGCGCGCAAACCCTAAACCCTAAACCCTCGCCGCTGGCCGCAAACCCTAAACCCTCGCTGCGCCGCAAACCCTAAACCCTCGCGGCTGCGCCGCAAACCCTAAACCCTCGCGGCTGCGCCGCAAACCCTAAACCCTCGCGGCTGCGCCGCAAACCCTAAACCCTTGCGGCTGCGCCGCAAACCCTAAACCCTCGCGGCTGCGCCGCAAACCCTAAACCCTCGCGGCTGCGCCGCAAACCCTAAACCCTCGCCGCTGGCCGCAAACCCTAAACCCTCGCGGCTGCGCCGCAAACCCTAAACCCTCGCGGCTGCGCCGCAAACCCTAAACCCTCGCGGCTGCGCCGCAAACCCTAAACCCTCGCGGCTGCGCCGCAAACCCTCGCCGCCGGACAAGTGCGCAACACTCGCCAAAGGGCTGAACGCAAACCCTAATCCTCGCCTAAACCCTCAAGGCTGGCCGCAAACCCTAGGCGCCAAACGCAAACCCCAGACAGGCGATTCAACACTACAAACCACAAACCCTCACACTCAACGCAAACCCTCACAGCTGGCCACAAACCCTGGACAGCGAACGCGAAAACGCAACAGGTAGCGGCGAGAGCTAAACCCTAGCAGCAAACCCTAAACCCTAGGCTGAGAAAACTAAACTCCAGGCAGCCCAAACATCATCCCCAGCTCTACGCGCCAAACAACAAACGAAAAAATAAAACCCAAATAGAATAACCAAACCCTCGACCCCAAACGGGAAACCCCGAGCCAGAAACCCTAAACCCTAAACCCTCGAAAGAGACCCAGGAAGCAGCGGCAGCGAATGCTGCTGCTTAGAGGCAGCAAAAGACAAGCCGCACACGGCAGCAACTCCGGACTTGGGTTTAGAGCAAGGGTTTAGGGTTTAGGGTTTAGGGTTTGCTGGGCCTTGCCTCTTCCACTGTCATCATCATCACCGTGGGGTCGATCTTCGGAGGCAGCGGAATTTGAATTTTGTATTTGTTGCGGTCCACCCTGCAAAACCCCAAACCCTAAACCCTGAATCCTAAACCCCAAACCCTAAACCCCAAACCCTAAATCCTAAGCTAAACACCCCACACTCTGAGTGGTAAGCCCTCGCCGTGGCTGAGATTCTCACCCCCCTCACCCAGCCAGCACGCTATCAACCCCAAACCCTAAACCCTAAACCCTAAACCCTAAACCCTAAACCCTAAACCCTCCGGAGGCGTACCCAACTCTCATGCCTTCTTCTATATCCATGGCGGCAACTTTCTCGCCAAGTCCAACAACGAATTTGGCGATTTGTTTGACGTTAATGATGTACTTGGTTTCTTCATCAACGTCGCCCGCCATGCTGCCCCGGGGGCCCCCCCCCTGGGGGCCCCCGGGGGCCCCCGAGCCCGAGGGGCCCCCCGCGCCGCCGGGGGCCCCCGTAGGGGGTATTATTTTTGTGCAGCGAGCCACCTGCAGCGGCTGCTCCTGCATAAGGCGCTTATCTGCTGCTAAGTCCCACTGAGAAGGCAAAGAAAGTCCTGTGTCACTTTCGCGAACTCCACAAAGTTTGGAGATGTTCTGCAGCTGCTGCTTTATGTCCGCCTCCAGCTTCTTCGTGCTGCCCGCGTACGGGCTCAGCCCCTGCAGCAGCAGCAGCAGCAGCAGCAGCAGCAGCAGCAGCAGCAGGGAGAGTGGGGGAGCCGGCATTGGGGGTCGCTGCCGCCGTGGGGGGGTCAGGCCAGCGTCCAGCCAGAGGTCGGTGCTGCTGCTGCTGCTGCGGCTGCTGCTGCTGCTGCTGCTGCTGCTGCTGCTGCTGTGGCTGCGCATGAAAGGGCTTGAGCAGGAGGGAGCGGTCTGTCAACTCCAGCGACTAGGCTAAGCGCTCAGGGACTAGGGGGGGAATTAGGGTTTAGGGTTTAGGGTTTGGGGTTTACATAGGACTTGAGGATGTCTATGTCTGCTGCATCCAGCGGCGGAGGCGCTGCAGCATTTTTGTCCTTCTCGGACTCATCGCCCTTAGGCCGAGAGCTGCTGCTGGGGTTCGCCATCTCCCTTGCGGCCCCCAACCTGCAGCAGCAGCAACAGCAGCAGCAGCAGCAAACGCAGCAGCAGCAGCAGCAACAGAGGCGGGATATAATCGAGCTGCTGACGAAATCCAACAATAGGGGCCGTGAAACTTGAGCTGCAGAAGCTGCTGCTGCAGCAAATGCAGCAACTGCAGCACTGCTGCAGTAACGAGAGCAGACTTAAAAGCCTGGAGCGAAACCCAGCAGCAGCGAGCTGAAAACAGAACGTGGAGAGAAACTAAGGAACACAGCTGTTTTTGCAGCTGCAGCAGCAGTTGCTGCTGCTGTTGCTGCTCCTGCTGTTGCTGCTCCTTCTGTTGCTGCTGCCGCTGTTGCTGCTGCCGCTGTTGCTGCTAAGGGGCCCCCAAGGAGCTGCGTACAGAGCAGCAGAGCCTCCTGTGCCTAAAGAGCTCTGGGAGGCAGCAGCAGCAGCAGCAGCCAGAGAAGCCCCTATAGCACTAGCGGCAGCAGCAACTGCTGCTGCTGCTGCTAGTTGGAGCTGCTGCTGCCAAGGGGCCCCCTGCACCTTGGGGGCCCCCGGATGCAGCGGCTGCCACTGAGTTGTGTCTGTCGCTCTGCAGCCACAAACACCTTCTAAAGAAGCCAAAAGTCAAAACGTACAGAGAAAATAAATAATGAAGCCCCCGGGGGCAGCAGACGCGGAGGAGAGCGGCAACACAGCTCCAGGTGTATGTACACAAGTCACGCAGCAGCAACAGCAGCTCCTTAACTAGGGTTTAGACCGTCCTTTTGTAGCTCTTGTTCTTTCAATCAAAAGTATTTAAACGCCTCCAACTCGCGGGCATAGACAGCCTTGGCTGCAGCTGCTGCTGCGGCTTCTGCAGCAGCGGCGGCGGCTGCTGCTGCTGTTGCTGCAGGCAGCAGCAGCAACATGCGTTCATCACAAATGCCCTAAAGCCTTACTTAGCAAACCTAAGAGAGATTAATTTTTAGATTCAATTGACTTCGTAAACGCTAGACCCAAATTTATGGAGTGTCCACACACCGCGCTGCAGTTGCTGCTGTTGTAGCCTTGCCTACAGTATATAGGCAGCTACGGCGATTCAAGAAAAGAGCTCTAGCGGATCTGGGGTGTACATACACCTGAAACAAACACGGTCGCCTCGCCAGCACTGCGCGGGTCTAGTCTCCCTTGGCAGGGCTCTCCTTATTGTCTGTAGGAACCGAAACGCTCTTTTGGGGTTTACGAGGGTTTAGGGTTTGGGCACATCTGCCCCAGATCACACATAGGCCTGTTCCCCTGTGGCAACACCCAGCAAGCGGCGCGCCTGAAGTGGCCGGGGGTAACGGGGGGCCCCTCAGCAGCGCCTTGGCGGCCCCTTGAGCTCAGTTTGAGGGGCCTGTCGTGCACCGGGGGCCCCCATGGGGGCCCCTGGGTACGCACCTGTGGGGTACGGCCAGTCCACCTCCATCCACGGGCCCCTCGCGGCTATCACGGACATCCCCGCAATCCCTAGGGGTGCGCCTGAGGGGCCCCAGGGGGCCCCCCGAAGCCCCAGCTGCTGGGGCCTCTGGGGCCCCTAGGGCTTGACCCTGCTAAATGGCTTGTTTGCAGGCGCCTCCAGTAGATCTCACTGGCAAGCGCAGCTTAAAGGAAAAATACCTTCTTTGTTGTGTCTAATATGACAAGTTTAAGAGGGAATTGGTGTTTAGGCACTGCGTGAGGTGTACAGACACCTCAACTGGCAGATTCCGCTAACCAGAACAAAGAGTTTAAAGCCAAAGGGGCAAAGGGGGGCCCCCAGAGGGCCCCCTGAGGGCCCCTAGGGCTTGTGGAGGCTCTTGTGGGCCCACAGAAGCGGCTTTAGTTTGCAGCCCGATTCTGATTCGTCAACCCCCCCCCAATTCTATATACTGAAAGGTTTCGGGCCCCACACTTCTCGTCTAGGTCTAGCTGGGGGGCCTCTCGCTCTCAACTAAAATCCCATTAAAGGGGAGGCTGAGGGCTCCCGTTCTGTCTGTAGGGACCCCCGCTGGCCTTCTTTGTCTTTCAGTGCTAATGAGGCTACGGGAGGGTTCATAAGGCGAGGTTCAGGTGTACGTACACCCCACTGCTATGTACACACACTTAAGCACTCGGAGGCTTTTGAGCCTCGAGGGCCCCAGGCCGAGGCCCATCTCGTAGTTGGCATTTCACAGTAGAGACAGAAGCCCACAGGTGCCCTGGCGGGGCCCCCAGGGGGCCCAAGGGCCCCCAAACAACGAGTCCAGGGCCCTAGGGGGCCCCTCCCAACCTACAGACAGAACCTGAGATATCTAATAGGCAGCAGGGGCTGTGGGGCCCCTCTCTGCGAACCTGAGGCCCCGGCGAAGCAGCAGCACCTCGAACCAGCAAGAAGAGGCTCCCGCCGTCCTCTCCTGCCGGCCTCATCAAACCATACGCTGCTCATGCCGAGGTCACAGAGGCAGTGGGATCCCCGGGGGCCCCTGTGGGGCCCTCTAGGCCCCTGCACGCGGGGACCCCTTGCAGCGGGGGCCCCCGTGACGGCAAAAAACGGAAAAAAGAGTCGGCAGAGGGGCCCCCTGAGCTGCCTTGGGGGCCCCTTGCTCCACTCTGAAGCCCCTTGAGGCCCTTGCCCAGCCAGACCACCTGGCTGCGTGGCTAGGGCCCCAGCGAGGCTTGCAGCGCTGCAGCTACGGGCCAGCGGGGCCCCCCGAGGGGCATCCAGGGGCCCCTGAGCCCCTGGGGCCCCCCGAAGGGTCGCCTGGGGGCCCTCGAGCCCCTGGGGGCCCCCCGAAGGGGCGCGTAGGGGCCGGCGAGCCCCTGGAGTTCATTCTAGGGGCTCCAGCCCCTGACTAAAGATTTTGGGGTCCCCGGGGCCCCCAGATAATGCGGCGGGGAGAGGGAAATGCCCCTCTTGAATTGAAGGAGACAGTTGGAGGTTCGAGGAGGTGACAGGTAGCGATGCTACTGGTGAGCCACGGGCGGCGCGCCGTGAGACCTGCCCATACACCTGGTGACGACTGTCTCTACGATAGGTTTACAGGGTGTACGTACACCTGAATCTGTGGGGCCGAAGAGCCCCGCCGCCGCGCCCCACATCCCAGTGCAAATTCCCCCTTTGCGGGGTGCTTGGGAGGCGTCGGCGAGCGCGTGGGTGTTGCGGGGGGCTAGGGTTTAGGGTTTAGGGTTTAGGGTTTGGGGTCAGGAGTAAATGTTGCCGTTCAAGAGGAAGTTGCGCAGAGTTATCGGCACCCGCAGCCGGTGCAGCAACACCACCCGCCCCAGCATCAAAGAACAAACCACCACAGTGGGGGCCGTGAGGGCTATCAGCAGCTCTACGGGGTCCACGGGAAACACCAGCAGAAAGTCTTCGCGCAAAGAGTGGGTCAGCCCCGACAGCGCAGAAACCCCGAAAGGTATTAGAAAAAAACGAACTATTATCCTGCTCGCCAGCCCCACAACGCCCCGCGCACTCGAGTTCACGCTCTACAGCTTACACTTTAGGGTTTAGGGTTTAGGGTTTAGGGTTTAGAGTCTAGGGTTTGGGGTTTACGGGTTGAGGGTAGCGGGCGACGGCTGCCGCCCACGAGTGGAGGTGGTGCTCGGGACTGCAGCCTTGGGTGGTCAGTGGCTGCGGCTCAGGGCTGCGCCGCTAGGGGTGTAAGGTTTAGGGTTTAGGGTTTAGGGTTTAGGGTTTAGGGTTTACCCGACGTCAGGGTACCCCCTGTACATGATGGCTCTGTAGGCGTTGGCGTTGAGCCCGATGCCCACGAGAGTGCCGGCCACGAGGGCACTGAGCCAAACCCTGGAGCGGACTTTGTGAGCTGTGAGAGCAACAATAACAAGAAAATAAGCAAAATAAATCCAAAGAATCATAAAAGGCAGCTCGGTGAGCTCCAGCAGCTGCCGCGCGAGCCGCGAGAGCCCGTAGGGGTTGTAGGGCACGTAGCCCGACTGCAGCCGCCGCGGCGGCGGCGGCGAGGGGCCCCCCAGGGGCCCCTCAGTGCTGGCGGCCTTGGCCTGGCAAATGGGGGGCCCCTCTTCAACGGACACGGGGCTTTCCACGCCCACGACGCAGGTGCTCGGCACGCGCCCGCCTCCGCACACGCTGCTGCTGCTGCTGCTGCTGCTGCTCTTCTTGCTGCTCACGCCTCCTCCGCAGCAGCAGTCCTCGTCGCGCGGCGATAGGGCGGCCTCCGCCGCTGCGGCTGCTGCTGCAACTGCAGCAGCTGCTGCACTCGGCCCAGACACACCGGCAGCAGCAGCAACAGCAGCAGCGGCAGCAGCAGAAGCAGGTAGGAGCGTCTTGAGTGGCAAAAAAGAGGCAAGCAAGTGCACAGCAACAAGAATACTCTCCCCTTCCCCTGGCCCAGTTGCATGACCTATACCCTTCTCCAGTTCCTCGTGAGAAGCAGCAGCAACAGCAGCAGCAACGACAACAGCAGCAACAGCGACAGCAGCGACAGCAGCAGCAGCAGTAGCAGCAGCCACAGCAGCAACAGCGGCACTACGGTAGTTTCAGCAACCGTCGGTTGCAGCCCCGAGACCACACTGCCTGGCGGCATAAAGCGCAGCCAGTTTTGGAATAGTCAAAAGAAGCAGCAAGAAGCAGCAGCACTGAGGTGTACGTACACCCTAGACCTACACTCATCGCGGGAGTCTGAGGGCGCCGTCGCCGCCTCTGAGCAGTCCGACCTGCGCCCTAGGGAGCAGCTGAGGGGCTGGGCGAAGGGGGGAAGAGCCATGAGGCTGGTTTTAAGGGTTTTGGAGCTTAGGGTTTAGGGTTTAGGGGCTGGGCGTCGGGGTGGGGGTCTAGGGTTTGGGCCGCCAGGCCGCCAGGGGAGAGGCGAGGAGTTTGGGGCATCGAGAGGTTTGCGCTGACGAGCGCAGCTGCTCCTGCTGCAGTGGTAAGCCAAGGATACAATGGGGGCCCCTGCTGCTGCTGCTGCTGCAACAGGGGGGCCGGCTGCTATGGGGGGCCCCTCCGCTAAGTAAAAAGATGCAAGCAGAGAGAGTAGCAAAGCGGGCGGAGGGGAGGTCGGAGGGTCTGCTTCAGAGGCTAGGGCTAGAGTTTAGGTTTTGGCATTTAGGGTCTAGGGTTTAGGGTTTAGGGTTTTGGGTTGACGGTTGGGGTTTCCACCGGGTCGGGTCGGGGTCACTCGTCGGCTACAGTGCGATGGCTGCAGGCCTGAGGTGTTAGGCCTAGTCCGCAGGGTGATGGATGCGACACACAGAAAAGGAGGGACAGAAATAAATTACAGAAATAAATTAGATAAAAAGTTTTTGCAGCGGTCCGCCCACTGCCACACAGACACGCGCCCCGGCGGCAGCCGCAGCAGCAACAGCAGCTGCAGCAGCAGCGCAGCAGCAACACAGCGGACAAACAGCGGTCCTCAGAGCAGAGGCTCCGTTGCGCCAGTAAAGCCCGTTTAACTTTTGTTTCTTCTGATTATTAAGTCGATTTGCATGCGTTTAGCTCGTAATTCATTGCAGCGACTTCCACACCCTCACCCCTATTGAGGGAACGGCAGCAGCAGCCAGCACCAGCAACCAGGGCTCACCGGTCCACCCCATCAAGCTTCCCAGAAGCAGCCCTGGTTGCTGCTGCGCTGTAGCTCTTCTTAGCTGCATCAAATTCATGTGTTCTGAGACTAACTGGGGGCCTATGGGGGGCCCTGTGGGTCCCCGGGGGCGCGCTCAGCGCACAGAGGGGCCCCGCCGTTGCCAGCGCCCCCCAACCCACACAATTGCAGGCGCACCCACACCTCGGCTGCTGACTTAACTAAACCAGTGCAATAGGACTTAATTCTACATGAATTCTCAGTGGGAAGTAGCTCAGTGGGGCCCCACAGAGGCAATGGTCTCAGTAGTTGGGGGCGAAAAGGCTCTAGAAAGCCCTTACAGTAGTGGGTTATGCTCTAGAGATGACCAGTGGTCACGGCCGGCTGCTACAGGGGCCCCTGCTGAGCGAAAGGGCCTCTAGTGCAGACCCTTAGTCCCCTCATAAGAAATACTTCTAAAGAAAAATACTTCTTGAGGTGGCTCTGGGCAGCAGCAACAGACGCTCTTCAGTGCAGTGGGAGAACACTCGCTCGAGGCGTCAAAAGATTTGATGTGTAAAGTGTATCTCTATAAATAACAAGCACATGCATGCAGACATATAAACAAGTATATATCTGTCTCCATATACATATTTATATACGTAAATAGATGTATGTGTAAATATACGGAGGCATAGGTGCTACACGTGTTGTCTGCATTCCGACCTGAAAAGAAGTGAATATTTGGACTAAAAACGTGTATATACATCAAAACATTTCTGCAAATGTCCTCCGGGAGAGACGTAAAAGCTTCTTTAGGAGCAAGGCAAGCAAGACGCATGCGAGCATCACACATGCATATATATTATTCATATTTGATGTAGCTGTGAACAGAGTCAGATAATGAATTTATGACATTGTGCGTAGTTGTGAATAAATTCGCACAGCACGTGCATGTGGAGTGTACGTAAACGGTAGCTCCTTGTGAGTAAGTATTCATAAAATAACTGTTCTTGCACATTTACATTATTGATTCATGCCAATACACAAGTGCAAATGTGTAAATAAGAGTTTTAAATGATGCATGCAGACAGGTTTATCTCGGGTTTACCTCAGGATGCACACATATATATATATATATATGTATGTATATATATATATATATATATGGAATGCATGCATGCATGCTTATGCATGGAGGTGCATGCGCATGCACAAAGATATGTGTATATATGCATACAAAAATATATATTTATGCATATATTTTGTATATCTGTGTGCAGGTGTATCTCTTGCATGTCAGCTTAAACTAAAGTGAGAATGAAACAGCCACAGAAGCAATTTATAACTATAAATGTGTATATACATATATTAATTTGCGCAGATTATATATGTATATATATACTTACATGTACATGTGTTTATGCCTGCGCATATACGCAACCACAAACAAAAGGGAAAGCAGGCGAGGGCGGGGACGCTAATGCGGAACCCTAAACCCTAAACCCTAAACCCTGAGCATAACTAGGAAATGAGCGAGCTTCAGTCCCGTCTTGTGCTTCGGAGCTGTCAGTTTCTAGGGCCCAGGGGCTTCTGGGCATAGGGTTTAGGAATTAGTGAAGGCGAACAGAACCTGCCCCTGCCAACAAGCTTGAGGGTTTAGGGTTTAGGATGCTTTCCATTTCTTTTCAGCTTAGGCCTTTCTTTGGAAGCGCCTCAGCCGTGCTCGGCTGCTTGTGCTTATACTTTGAAGCTTCACTTTCAAACGCGAAATGAGGGGAAAAAATATGTTTTCAAATTACATGTAATAATGTGTATATATATGCATATGGAGTGTATATACATCAATTAAAATCGTTCAGTATGTTCACCTATGCACATTGTGTGGTACTATATGTGTGTTTCGCAGGGGCAGATCAATACGTTGAATCTTTAGGAAGTGCAAGTCCTGCACATATATAATATAAATTCACGTTACTTATATCTCCCACATAATATGCATTTCAATTCGTTTCATTGCATTCATTGCTCCCCCCCCACTGCCTCTTCTGCCCTCTGCTAGGGTTTAGGGTTTAGGGTTTGAGGGCATAGGGGTGCGAGACTAGCTGTGGGGCCACAGGCCTCTCTCTCCGACACTGCAGCTAGCTGCAGCTGCAGCTAGCTGTAGCTGCAGTTAGCCAAAAGCATGGACCATATGTACATGTAGTGGATATATATGTTCATGTGACACACATAATACCCATATACCTCATATATTTATACGTACAACTATATATGTATGCACAAAGTAACATATATTTGGTATATTTGTGAAGATATACACAAGGAATGCACGGAAATCCAATTAATGTATGCACAACATTTTAATCGCACTAGAACTCATTTGTCTTAAAGGGTTAGCCAAAGAATGGCTGCAGCACTTTTGTTGCCGTTTGGCCGGAAGCTGCTGCGGCAAATGCCCCCAAAACGGGGCACCGGGTTAATGCCACTTTTAAAAAGTATAAATATCTGAGATAATTGGACAAAGCATGCAAGAATGCCACTTCAGATGCGTGCAAATGTGAAAGCGCTGCTCTGGAAGCAAACTTGTGCACGAATGCGAATAGCGCCTCTAAAAACACACGCATGCATGCAGACGCATGCATATTCCTGCTGCATGCCTCTTCATGCCTATGGAGCTAGTTCAGCATTTCAGACTCTCAGATACTAACTTGGGGCGCTGCTGCTGTGTGCCGCTGTAAGCCACAGCGCCAGGATAGCGCACGGGAGCAAATAAGCACCTCTTCTCTGGCCTCTAGACGGAACATAAACCCTAAACCCTGAACCCTAGATTCTAAACCCTAGGCTGCGCTGCACTCTACCCCACGGTTGCTTCAGTGTGGCCCTACGGCTGGCTAGCTGAACCAGGTGTCACATTGTTGCTGCTCCTTCGTGCTGCTTCAGACTGACGCGCTGCTGCAGCTGCTGCATGCCTAGGGCAACAGCATCAGCAAAGAGTCTACACGGCGCAAGGACAGCAAGAACGCACACGCAGCAACATCCTGCTGCTGCTGGGAAGGCGGGAGACGCTGCCGTTGCTGCAGGAGAGACCCACATACCCTGCAGGCTGTCCTATTTGTCCCTCAGCACTGAGTGCAGACCTAATGGAGGAATGCAGCAGCAGCAGCCCACTGAGGTTAACAGAAGCAGCAGCAGCAACGGCTGTTCGCGCTGGTGCAGCAGCAGCAACAGCGGCAAAATGGATATTCGGGCACGGCGCAACCATTGCGAGTAGCAGCGCATTTTTATTTCTAAATAACAAAAATGTATAGCAGCATCAGCAAACTGCACGGTGGGGAGGTGTGCAAGTAGGAGCAGCAGCCATCGTTCGCAGCAGCAGCAGCCGCAGCAGCAGCTGCAGCCTTCGGGCTGGCTTCTGGCCCCGCAGGAGGCTGCAGGTGTGTTAGTTGGTCATATTAAAGCCAAATAAAGACAGCAACAAATAGCGCAATAGCGATACATAATAATAAGCTCTTAAAATCAGATTTTTTGCTGTTTGTGTACTGCAGCAGCAGCAGCGAGAGCAGGCGGTGGGCGCCGCGATGCAGAGGCCAGCCGCAGCAGTTGCCATCCAGCCTACAGCAGCAGCAGCAGCAGCGGTGGCGCGCAGCAGCGGCGGCGGGAGCAACAAGAGCAGCAGGTCTATGTTTGGCAGTTTTAGGCATAAATATACATTCTTTGTAGCAGCAGCAGGGGCTAAAGAAGCGACAGGGGCCCTAGTTAATCTAAAGGGGGCCATCTGTGTTCCCCCAGCAGCCTCAGTCGAACCCTCTGCTGTCTGTAGAGCTGAGTTGGACTGCTGGGTAGCTGCAGCCCCGTGAGGCCCAGCATTTCTTTATCTTCTTTTTGCTGCTGCAGCAGCGGCAACAGCAGCAGCACCACCACGCTGTCTCTACGGCCAGACACCGCACCCAGGCCCTCAAACCGGGAGCTTCCCACCCTTCGTGCTGCTGTGCTTTCTTACAGCAGCAGCACAACCATCGCACAACCAACCCCACCGCTAATTTAGGTACGCACTAGCTGTAGCAGCAGCATGGGCAGCAGCAGCGGCAGTGCTGCTCCGGTTCCCCGGCGCTGCTGCTGCTCGGCCGGGGATGCCGGCGTTGCTTCCTTCGGGGGCTTCTGGGGCCCCCAGAGGCTCCCGGGGGTCCCCTGAGGCCCCGGGG